CGGGACCGCCTGGGATGTAGAGGTGGGTGAGTGCCAGGGAGGTTCCGTCTTCAGTACAGAAGTGACCTGCACTGTCTCAGGCCACCCATGTCTGGGCAGGATGAGGGAAGATGGTCGCTAGCCTGGCGGTGAGAAGAGAGATGGCCATGGCTGGCACACAGGGGACCGGACAAACCTTGAGGGGGTTACTGACAGATTGCCACGTGGGAAGGCCACTTCAGGGGTGGCTTGTAGCAGGAGTTAAAGGATGAGCGGATGGTGAGTTTATGGCACAGGATCAGGGACAGTTGTCCTCAGTCTGAGCCCCAAGTAAGAAGCCTGTACCTGGGAATCATGGGAGACCGTCTCAGACAGTGCTTGGAAGCTGGGAGCTTAAGGGAGCGGGGGGAGGGGCGGGGGGGCAGAGAGGTGGGTTGACAGGCCAGCAGAGTGACACCTGAGGAGTAGAAGGAAGCTGAGCCTGAGCCTCATCCCACATCCCTTAGCTCTGGTGAGGGAGGGGCAGAGGGGACTATACACAGAGGTAGACCTGCCTTGGAAGGGAGTGGATAGGTCTGAGATTCAGTCAACAAATAGAATTTCTCAGTATGTAGGGCCTGCTCTAAAAGTTGGGTGTGGTGGTCATGAACCAAGCACTCTAGATCCCCAGATGGGCAGTTTCCTAACCAGATAGACAGTTACATCTGAGCAAAAGGACAGCCAGCCCTGGTGGATAACTCAGGAGCTGAAGCTGCAGCAGAGGGAAGGACACATGAAAGGCTGGGCAGGGCCCAGGTGGAGCAGAACAGGGACGGGTCGTTGGTAGGTGGTTTCTCAAAGACTTTAAAATGGGAGAGCAGGACAGAGGCTGTGTTGGGGGATCCCAGACAGGAAAGAAGAGACTTAGAACATACTGGATTGGAGTGGAAGGGGCAGGCTAGGTGACAGTGGTGGGGGTGAGGGTAGGACATGGTGCTTCCGCTATTATCAGGTGAGGTAATAGGCCCTGAGAATGCAGAGGGTAGCGGGGGAACAGCAAGTCAGAACTGAGGTCCTGGAAGAAGCTCATGACACCATGATCCCAACTTCCTCTCCTCAGCACTCCTCCCACTCCGCCCGCCTGTCTCCAGCTCACCCCGAGAGTCCCCTAGAAAGGAAAGAGGGGACTTGGGTGTCCCTGATCCCCTATCGGTGGCGCCAGCCAGCTGGATTCTAATTAGCTGCCAGAGCGGAGAGACAGGAAGCAGAGGCTAGGGGCGGGGCTGGATCCCTGCCCGAAGCCAAGGCTGAAATCAAATTGGACACCCCTTGCCCTCCTTGAGGGATGAAGGTCTTGGTGGTGGAGAGGAGTGGTGGGGCAGGTTTAGGGGTGAGGGCTGAAGCAGCTTGGTGTGGGGTGGGTGCATGGCAGCCATGCTGACCTGTCAAGCTGCCCCCGGGGAGGTTGAGAAGAGGGACCAGAGCTGGTTAGAGTGACCCCAGAACAGGGCAGTGTGCACCCCAGTCCAGGAAGCAGAAGACAGACTCCCACTGGGCTTGCTGAGGTCAGCTCCTGCCCCATGTCACTCCGCTGTCCTCCCTCAGGCTGGTGGGCCAGGCCGTGGCACCCTGGTGATGCGGGGCGAGGCCCCCCCCACAGTCCGCTGAGAGCCCTGCCCCCGCCCCTGGCCTTCGCCATGGCCCGCTTGGCCGCAGCACTCTGGAGCCTCTGTGTCACCACTGTCCTCGTCACCTCTGCTACCCAAGGTAGGTGCTGGCTGGGCTGGGGAAGGGCTGGGTCTCCAAACCCAGATGGAAGGTGGGAAACATGAATTCTCTGGACCACAGCCTCCACTCCAGATGAAGCTGGACCAGGCCAGAGGGAACCTGGTGATGCCACCCTTGGTGTTGAACTCCCAGCAGGCCAGTGCACTGGGTGCTGTCTTGCTTGGGGACCCCTAGGACTAAGACAGGCCTTCCGGGGGCAGCTATTTCTCTCTATCTCTCCCTCCCCCCCGTCATTCATCACATCTCTGAGGCTCACTGGGACCAAGGCTTAATTAAAGCATGCCTGCTGACGTTTATTTAAAAACAACTAATTACCCAGCTCCGGCCTGGGATCCTGCACATGCCACAATTAGTGCCCTGAGCCTGCTGCCCACTGTTGACATTACCTAGT